TTTTACTTAATAAAAATTATACTTATTTAATAAGTATAAAACATATAAAAATAATAAAAATATAATGATGATAATTTTAATTGTTAATAAAAAATAAAATAGAAATATATATAAACTACAACAATGAAATAATGTAAATTACAACAAAATATAAAAAATATTAATTAAATCATTACCTTTAATGCTTTTAATTTAAATTCTCCACATTTCCTACAAAACCAAAAACAAAATATATATAAATATAAAAAAAATTGAAAAATGCAATAGAATAAACATATATATGTGAAAAGTGTTAACGTTCATCAAATTTAACCTACAAAAAAAAAAAGAAACAAAAGTTAGTTAATGAAATATAAACATAAAAGTAAAAATAAACCAATACAAAAATACAACAAAACATTTTTAAAAAATACATATGAGAAAACAAAAAAAAAAAAAGAAGGAAAGAAAGGATGAAGAAATGGAGAGAAAAAAGAGAGGAAAGAAAAGGAAATAGAAGGAAATGAGAAAAAAAAGGGAAGAGAGAAAAGAAGAGAGGAAATGACAAATAAAAGGAAGTAGAAAAAAAAAAAAGTAAGAAAAAGAAGAAGTAGACGGGAGGTAGAACAGAAAAGAAAGAAAGGAAGAAAAGAAAAGAAAGAGAGGAAGAAGAGAAAATGAGGAAAAGGAAGAGAAGTGGTGATATATATAAGGCTTATACGGACTGAAATCAGTCCGTATAATCCTTATGGCGCGCCGCACCAAAATCTTTGAATTTTTTCGGGAAAAATTTTGGCGCATTAATCATATTCAGATTGAAATCGGTCTGAATATAAATGAATTAGCGCAGAATAAAAAATTTACGGTAAAAATTTAGCACATAAATTAATTATGGACCGATTTCGGTCCGTATATGTATTTAGAATTCAAGGGATCACGTTAATATATTCGGACCAATTTTGGTCCGAATATATTGGGAAAAATTCCCAGGGCACCAAAAACTTTCAATTTTTTCGGGAAAATTTTTGGCGCATTAATAATATTCAGACCGAACTCGGTCTAAATATAAATAAAGTAGCGCAGAATCCAAAAGATTCAAATTTATGGTAAAAATTTGACGTATAAATTAATTACGGACTGATTTCGGTTCGTATATGTGTTTAGAATACAAGTGACCACATTAATATATTCATACCGATTTTGGTCCGAATATATTGGGAAAAAATTCACAGGCCACACTTTCATTCTTTTCATTTAAGGACATCACCATTTTCTCGTGTCCTCAATCCATATATACGGACTGGTATCGGTCCGAATATAGGCAATCAGAGGGATTTTTTATCCTAAAGCTAAATTAAATTAAGTATGAATATATACAGACCGATACAGACCAGTTTTGGTTTGAATATATGCAAAGAATCCAGAAGCTTCCATGTTTTCATTTTTCAGACCGATTTTGGTCCGAATATGCTAGAAAAAATCCAGAAACTTCTCGCAGTTCGCATTTTTATTCTTTTCATTTAAGGACATTACCATATTCTCGTGTCCTAAATCCATTCCTGCGAAAACCAATTGCATGTACATCAACCCTACAGTCCCTTGGAACCACAAAACCATCGATTGTCTACCTGAAATTATCTTATGATGGTACGGAGTAATATCGTTACAAAACCACGAACGTATAAGTTTAAAGTTATTAGAGATAATGTTACGTAATGCTCTTTTGGAGCTACAAGCAAATAAAATTAATTTTTTTTATTTAGGTTAATCACTTTGGCTTACAAACATTCGGAATGTTACGGTTTAAAACGAGAATAGAACGAGTTAAGTATGAAATAACAAAAAAAATAAAAAGCTATTGTTAAGGGGCATATACGGACCGATCTTGGTCCATATATGTATATACAGACCGGTATCGGTCCGAATATAGGCACTTCGAGGGATTTTTTATCCTTAAGCTAAATTAAATTAAGTATGAATATATATACGGACCGGTTTTGGTCTGAATATATGCAAAGAATCCAGAAGCTTCCATGTGTTCATTTTTCAGACTGATTTTGGTCCGAATATTCTAGAAAAAATCCAGAAACTTCTCCCAGTTCACTTTTTTATTCTTTTCATTTAAGGACATTACCATCTTCTTGTGTCCTAAATCCATTCCTGCGAAAACCAATTGCATGTACATCAACCCTACAGCCCTTTGGAACCACAAAACCATCGATTGTCTACCTGAAATTATCTTACGATGGTACGGAGTAATATCGTTACAAAACCAAGAACGTATAAGTTTAAGGTTATTAGAGATAATATTACGTAATGCTCTTTCGGAGCAACAAGAAAATAAAATTAATTTTTTTTATTTAGGTTAACCACTTTGGCTTGCAAACATTTGGAATGTTACGGTTTAAAACGAGAGTAGAACGAGTTAAGCATGAAATAACAAAAAAAATAAAAAGCTGTTGTTAAGGAGCATATACGGACCCATCCCGGTCCGTATATATATATACAGACCGTTATCGGTCCAAACATCGAAACTCCGAGGGATTTTTTATCCTAAAGCTAAATTAAATTAAGTATGAATATATATACTTAATAAAAATTATACTTATTTGATAAGAATAAACATATATACATAAAAAATTTTAAAGTTCACCAAATTTAATCTAGAAAAAAAAATAAAATAGCTGCTATTCACTGAATATACAGACCGATCCTGGTCCGTTTACCTATATACGGACCGTAATCAGCCCGTATAGATATATACGGACCGGGATCGGTCGGTATATATCATTTTAAGAAAAATAAAAATAAACAAATAAAGAAAACATATTTATTTTATTTAATAATTACATAATATTACCAAACAACGTAAAAATATATTTTACCATTCAAAATAAATACATTTATAAAAAAATAAAATATGCTTGGAATAATTACTTAAAATAATAACTTAAAATTTGTAAAAGTTTAATTATATTATAGATGAAAAGTTTTAAAGTTCACCAAATGTAACCTACAAAAAGAAAATAAAAGAGTTACTGTTTAGGGAATATAGGAACTGATCCCGGTCTGTATAACTATATACGGACCGAGATCGGTCCGTATATATCATGTGAAGAAAGACTAAAAAATAAAGAAAACAGATTTATTTTATTTAATAATTACGTAATATTACCAAATAATGCAAAAATATATTTTACCATTCAAAATAAATGCATTTATAAAAAAATAAAATATGTTTGGAATAATTACTTAAAATAAT